CTAAAGGTTTCATCAAACTTGTGATACCATTGGTAGTATATGTAACTTTGAAACATCTTGAAATGTAGTCTTGGAGATAATCAACAGTAACAATCTTTCCGTATTCCAAACGAATTTTAATTATTGTAGTTAGTTGATTCATTTGTGTTTTTGATAATTTGTATTGTCCACCAGAACTTTTAATAGTACCCAAATTTCTTTTAATACCGCTTGTCTTCAATTGAGTTATTCGAGCCGCTGATACCCCAAAAAGAGCGGCAATGTCTTCTTGTGTTTATAAGCGTCTTTTGTTTTTTGACTTCCCGTTACTTCCTTGAGTTTTGCACCACCGTTCCATCATTTTTATTAATAAGACTATTTGTTGTTGAAATGATGTTGTGCATTTTGTGTACTCTTCAGATGAAACAAATTCACAGATAAAATTTTCAAGTGTAAGATAATTTTTGTGGTCTCTGTTTCGAAGTTCCGAAAGAAGTTGAAGAAATTCAAATGGTGAATAAATTAATTCCGCCTCACTACACTCAACAAATAGTTCATTATCGATAATTAATTCTTTTTGTTTATTTGTTAGTGGAAATTCATTTAAATTTATTCTGGTACTATCATCGTAATCATCATCGAGAAAATTTGTTTTATAAATAGAATCATTGAAAATGTTTTCATTGTTGTCTTTAAATTTGAGCGTATCAAGGTCACTTTTTATGTAGTCGTCCTATGGCAAACACTTTTCAGTACATTGTTGTTCTTTTTTGAACTCGACATTTAAAAAAAGATGTGGGGCATCTTCTGAACATATTATGGTGATTGGGTTTTTGTTCGCCTTATCCATTTAAATTTTATAGTTCAGAATAAATTGTTTTTAAACAAAAACTATTAATATTTTTATTTATTATTTTGTTTTTTAATTTTTATCGAACCCTAAACGTCTGTTAATTGTTATTTAATTGTAATTAAAAATTGTGACTATTTTTAGCTGAACGTTTCAAAATTTTCCACTTTTAGTAGCAAAACCCTAAAATAACCCTTAAATTAAAAAGCGTTTTGAAATTAAGCCCCTTATTTGGTCTTCTGTACAATTAAAGGGGTCTATTTGTCGCAATCTTATTTGTCGAACGAGTCTATTTATCGCACAACTGGCCAATCATTTGGGTTTACGGTATTATTTTTTGTTCTCGAATTTGTACCTTTTGTTGAATTTAAACCAAATTTTTACTTAAAAATATAATTCTATATTAAAACGAACTTTCTGAAAAATTCTCTCAAATCCGACAAATAAATTTTTTTTGTGCTAAGATCTCGACAAATAGAGCCTTTTCACTGTATTTTAATTTTAAAAATACAGTTAATTGCATTTATAGCCTAAAAACAAACAACAATTTAAACATTGTGTTTTTATTTAATTTTTTTATCTTATACAAATAAAATTATTTTTGAGTGAGGGTGTAAATAATAAATTATTTATTGTTGTTATTAATAACATTTAAAGAATTCGGAATAACTATTTCACAAATATTAACAAAATTAAATGTTATCCATTTTTTTAAAAATATTTATTATCGAACAAAAGTATAATGTTGCAGCTAAAGAGTCTTTGAATTACACAAGTTGGCTTGTCTCATTATTTTCTTTTTTTATAAACGAGATGTTTGACATTTGCGCCATCCACAATCGATATACAACGCCGTTTTATTCGTTCTGTATGACAATTGTAATTCTGGGATTTTAATGTTTTTTATTAGAACAAGCAGTTGAACTTATCATTTAAATATCGAGTTATATTTTATGTTGATTTATAACCTAATTCGACTTTTTTTATTGTTTTGTTATTGTTGAGAAATAAAGTTTCACCTTTGTTGTGAGTAAAAAACAAAGAAAAAATAAAGTTGCACACTTGTTCAGAATGACTTTACTCAAAATGTTTGTTAAACAGATTTTTATGAAAAAAAAATATTTAGGCTAATATAAACTTCTGTGAGCAAAATTATCATGGAAACAAAAAAAACAGGGAGTAAAATAATTATAATAATTTTCATTTAGTGGTTTTTAACCAATAAAACTAATAAAGATATTAAAGTATTAATTTTCTTATTATTTGTCAAATTATCACATGTTTTAAGGGTTGAATATCAGGATTTGTAGTTTCATGTATGAAAAGACAGAAACTATAAGTAAGGCGTAAACTGTAAATATAAATGGCAGTATTTTGTTTGACTGTGTTTATTTGCAACATTAACCTTACGATGGTGTTTATGTAATTTAAATATCACTTATTTTCAATAATTGTTTTTTGGTAATTTATTTTTATTTTTATTTTTTATTTTTCAATATTAAATTAACAAAAAACTCGAAACTGTAAATAATGAACTATTTTTGATTTATGACCAATTTATTTGCACAATCGAAACAAGCAAAAACGGAATGAAAAGGACACACCAGTTGATAGCAAAAATAGCAACCACTTTTTTCTCAATTTATATTGATTACGACAAAGTTTACATGTTCTTAACTTTTCAATTTTTTATTGAAATCGAAACGTGACCTTTTTCTTATTGTTTCAACTTTTGTTCGTTGGTATAAGTTCCAACGTGGTGTTCATTATGACCTGTTTGTAGTGAACACCACGTTATATACAAATAATCAGATATGATTATTTATATTTAAAATAATCATATCTTTCATTTTAATAGTGAAATTTTCGTTGATTGGGTGAAGATATCTTCATTGAAGTTTATCACAGGAGGATATGATATATTTTTTAGAAAAGGGTCTACATTACACCCACTTCTATTTTTTTCCCAAGAGTGAACATGTATATCGACACTTTTTTCTGTATTGAATGTATTTTTAATATTTCTTTCATGAAATATCACTTTTATTGTGTTGCTTGTATACACCGTGTGTTATGACACGTCCTGTATTTGGTGATATTTGGTTAACAAATGATAAGACTTTAATTATCAATATAATTTGCAATTGTATTATTGATTTTGTTTTACATAATTTTTGGAAACGATATTTGAATTACAGGGGTGCCACGCCTGTTTTTCAAAAAATGTTATTTATTTTGTTTTAATGACATTATTGTAAGGTTAAGTGACAAATTTATTTTAAGTAATCTAACAAGTCTTTTATAGAAATTGTTATTTTGTGAAAAAAACAAAAAAAACAAATCCCAATTTTTAACATCATTTAATCCCTATTTTTTGTCACCCATTTATTTTATTTGTATGTATTTTATATATTTTTTGTGACCCATGTAATAAAGTTTCTGTTTTAAATTAACATAATTTCGATGATGTTTCAGATGCTTTAAGATTATTTTAACTTTATTATTCTTTTACTCGTGACGTTAAGAATTTAATATCATGTTTAGTTTTAAAGTATGAACATCTTTTTATTTTGAATAAAGATAGTATCTAAATAGTTAATAAAATATATCATGAAAAAGAAAGTGAGAGTTGAAAATCGCATGTTTGTGTTTATATACATACTATTGGTTGTTTTTAAAATTATTTAGTATAAGTAACAAATGAAACGATTATTTTTAATAATACTAAATTTATTGGTTGACTAAATTTAAATTTTAACTATTCTTTAGGATTAATTATAATATATATCATTTATTTTTTTGATAATTTTAGGTTGTTTTTTATTAATAATAGTAATTATTGAATATGAATGCCAATATATGTTTTATATTATACAATGTTTAATAATGATTATGAATTTATAACACAGTGAGGTAAAGATGTTGTAATTATTTTAATAATATTTTAAGTGATTATTAAAATCATAAAATAATAAAAATTTATAAGTTTTAAAATTAAACTATTTATTATTAAACTTATTTACATATAAGGTTTGTTATATTATTAACATGTTTTATAAATAGTTTGTTACAAACCAAATAACCACGACTTTAATTATTAAAAAACAGATGAATGGTTTTTATTAATTAATAACGACAAAATAAATGATACTACTGACCACGTTGAGACAGGTCTCCATTTTTCAACTTATTGAATTATAGCAACAGAATTTTTTTTATTAAAACTATTCAAATTTGATAATTTTTTGATTCTGTTATTGTTTTCCAATTTAACAATTCAGTATCATTATTATTTTTAAAAAGAAAATTACTTATTATAATTGTGGATAAAAAATAAAATATCAATTCAGTTTTATAATAAAAACAATGATAAACACAGTTATAATATATTAAAAATTGATAAACCAATGGTTGACATATCCAAAAAATAATAAGGATTTGAAAAAAATATTATTATTTGAAAAAATAAAACCACTTTTGGGGATATATCTTAAAGTATTTTTTATCTTAATTATGAATGAATATTTGTGTAATACTTGTTAAAATAACGCTTCAATTTAATTTTAAGACGTTACTAAGTTGCATCTCAAGGTTGTGAATTCGAAATTACAAAAGAAAATTTGTTTGCAACTATTGTGGTAAAGAATTGATATGCTATAATTGATTGGTGGTTTAACACAAACCAAATTCGTTTCTTGTTGTTTCAAACTAAACACTTTTTATTTTTGGTTATCTCCCAAATATTAACATATTTATAAACGGCAAATTGGTCTATTTATTACCATTTCTTCGTTAAAATATTTAATCAATAAACATATAAGAAAGTAAAATAATTGAATATCTATTTTTACTTATAATTTCGCAAAGTCGAATAGTATCTATTTAACCACTAAAAATAAACAAAAATACTTGATTGTAATTGAAGTACTCCAACAATTGCACAACAAGAAATTGTATCAAACATTAATAACAAAGTTTAATATTGATTATAATACACAAACAAATGTTTAAAAATTATTAAATGATTTGGTATAATATTTGGTGAATTCCAACACCAAAAAGCATACAACAAATAAAACAGTTATTTTTATCAAATCCAAAAATAAATTAACTTACTTGTAGTGTTTTCGGTTGTATATAAACACTTTGTATATCTACTTATCAGTCAATCATGGGTAGCTCAGTATCACATATACTCATAGCCAGAAATGTACACTTATATTCCAAGAAGTGTAAAGGTAATAAGGACAAACAGGAGAAACAAAAGATGACAAAGAAAAATCCATCAAAAAAGATAAAAGAGTCAAATGATTATGTTTCTGAAAGCACAACAACTTTGACAAAAGAACAAGAAATGATCAAATCACTTCTGAAAAAAACAAAAAGTGAACAAATTGAGGTGATTTACAATTCAGATTTATTGGGGTTTGAACAAAGAGAAATTAGAACAAAAATATTAGGAGAACAAAATATTATATTTCTTGTTATGACTGAAAGTGGTTCAATCTTTGGGTTTTATCAGAAAGATATGATCAACAACATGAAATGCTGCAAACAACTCAAAGCGACATCAAAAGATTTCTTTTTGTTTGGAAGTCCTTATGTATATCAAAATCTGTATTTTTATAAAAGAAAAGAACAAATTGAAAACAAAGATTCTAATTCATTTACATTGTATGAAGATGAAAACAATCTTGTTTTATCATGTTATTCTTCGTTTTGGATAAAAAAGAATAAGCAGATTGAATTTAATGTGTGTAAAAGAATATTATGATTTTCCACCAACAAATCAAAATGTATTTATTGGTAAGCAGAAAACAGAAACAACAATTTGTGAGAAATTAATCATACTTAAATGTCTATAATTTCTTTATCTTATTATTTGAATTGAACAAATATTTTATTATAATCATTTAATTTTGTTGAATATATATATATTAAATAATTTAAAACGAATAAAAATTATTAAATAAATGAACATCATTTTAATAAGTTTAATATTTATGCCGAGATGTATATTGCAATTGTTTGTAATCAATTTAAATAAAATTGTTATCATAAATGATAATAATATACAGTGAATTTACCCCTTTTAAATTAATTTAACACTTTCACAACCCAAAACTTTTTTAAGAAGAAAAATAAGTAAAAAAGAAATTGTGAAAATCATTTTTTGATTATTTTTATTCCAAAACCCCTTTTCTAACCCAAACCGGCCATGGGTCTTTATTTTTTGAAAAAAAATCAAATGTAAAACAAACGGGCACGCCATATAATTTATATTCTTACAAATTTCAACTTTATCTAAATATCGAAGTGTAAAGTTTGTGTTTATAATCACATGTCCGAAATACTCAAGTTATCGAGTTTTGAGCTAAGAATCATCCTAAATATTGAAATGTACCAATTGAAGTTATTTGTAAACGGCAAGAAATGTTTCATGTACCAAACGATTGTATCAACCGAGGAAAAAGTTGGATTCATGAGGACAGAATACGATACAGATTGTAGTTTCTTGTTAATTAATATAAAATTAACAATATCATTTTTTGTTGGGAAATGTAGAAACACATTTAAAAGATAAAAGGGTTGTAATTGGTTTGACATCTTTTGTTTATTAAAAACGAGTTCAATTCTTTGTTTGTATATTGTTTATACAATGACTAAATAATTTAACCGTTTGATATTATTTTTCTTTGTATTAATTAATAATAATAATAATAATAACACTCAATTAGTCTTTTTCTCCTTCTCATCAGTTTTTAAAAGGTCCAATATCCATCTCGCCCTTTTATTCTCATCAATCAACACTTTCGTACTTTGTTTTATTTGTTCCAACCCACCCAATAGTTCTTGGGTAATTTGTTGATTCTGTGTTTGAAGTTTATTCAATTCTCTGTATATTCCTTCTCTCATTTTCTCCATATTAGTCTTGATCTTTTCTTTCTCAGCAACAACAACGTTATATTCATCAACATCAATCGTCTTCCCTTGTTCCCCTGGTGTTGTCTTCTTTGCATTTTCTGTGAGTAAATTCTGTATATCAATTTCCTTCTTTTCCACAAGTTGTTTATACGTTTCTCTCTCTCCTTCAAGACCCTGAATTTGTTGAGTAATTCGTTCCTTTTCCTTTTCGTTCTCTTCAACACGTTTCTTCAATTTCTCGTTTTCTTGTGTGATGTTCTCGACTTTTTCTTTCAATCCCGCGTCTTCATTTTGTATCTCCAGTTTTTTTTTCTTATCCAACTTCTCTCTCACTGCTATTTTTTACTTTAACCATTCTATTTCAGACTGCGTTTATATGAGTTTTAATTTTATATTAATTAAGTCTTTTATATGATACGCAACATTATAAAAGGTTTTAACACAATTCCAATCATTTATATGTTTTTTATTATAAATATTGGTTAATTATATTGCAAAACAATATATAATGATGAAAAAGTGAATTACTTTAATAGCCGGATTGTCCCATGTAATCTTTGAGTTTGTAGACTGCGTCTGAGTTCTGTCCAGCAGATACAGATGCGTCTTTGAAGTATCCAATCAAAATGACTTTGATTCCCTTGTAAATAGAAACACCAGCAGCACCAGCCTTTCCAAAGACAGTTCCCTCGTCTTTGTCAGCTCTTGTGACTGTGTATTTGACACCACCAATATGAAGTCCCTTTGACTGGAAGTCTGCTATATTTCCGGACATGATTGCATTTGCAATAGTCGTTGCTTCTGCTTGTTGGATTGTCAAGCCAACTTGTGACATGATTGCTCCATTGGTAGCAAGAATAATTCCACCATGGCCTTTGCCTGCACCAATCATTGAAGCTGTGTAACCGTCCCACGACATTTGAATGATTACCAACTTGTGGTATTCTTTATATAATGTCGACACGTCACTTCTTTATTTGTTTTCTTGAAATTATATTTCAATATTATTTTTTGAATTAAAAATCCAATTTAAATATGTGTAAACTTAAATTTTCCAAAAAGTAGTTGTCTAATATTATTATTAAAAAACTTGAAATAAAAATGTGTATTTATTATTTATGCGTTTTACATTAATTTACACGTTTTCATTTTAATATAAAAATATTTACGTCATCAAATTAATCATTTATATATATATATCAAGAACTATTATTTAATTATAATGTGTAATTACAACAAAAACACATTTATTGACAAGAAATGTAGAATTATTATTTTTATGTTTATTTAATTGTTTTTAATTAAACGCGAACATTAAATTTTAATTTAAGTCACTCCGAATAAGTGTGCAACTTAATTTTTTCAGTGTTATTTACTCACAACAAAAATGAAACTATTTTTTTCAACAATAACAAAAAGTCGAATTAGGTCAAAATTGACATAAAATATAATTCGATATTTAAATGATAAGTTTAACTGTTTGTTTTAATGATGAACATAAAAAATCCAGAATTCCTACTGTCATACAGAACAAAAAACAGCTTTGTTTATTGTCTGTGGATGGTGCAGATGTTAAACATTTTTTGAGAACGTAAATAAAGGGACAAGCCAACTCGGGTAATTCAAAACCTTCTCGCTGCAAAATTCTGATAAAGATGTAACAGTTTATTGGTGCAACCCAAAAAAAAACTAATTGAGAAAAAATGTGCAACTTTAGTTATAATTTAGTTATAGTATATTAATTAGAGTTTTAGTTTTAAAGAAATTTGTTTGTGTTTTTTTTGTTTTGACATTCAAAAACATATAATTGTTTTATTATAATTATACTATAAACAAAATTGCACTGACACGTCAAAGTTGCACGGTTTTAAAAATGACTTTAACTATTATTTTTGTGATTATATTAAAAAAAATAAATATAAAATTTTTAATTATCAAAAATTCTTACAATAATTTTAAATTGGTTTACATAGTTCGTTTTTAATGTAATTCAAAATTCATTTTATTAAAAATATTATACTGTTAAACAAAAACTTGATTAAAAATATATATTTTTGGTATATTTTCATTATCTTTTTCGAAATAAAATAATTGTAAATATATGTTTTCTACTCAAATAAATTGAATTGAACGTTTCAAAGTATAAAAATTTAAACTTTTGTGTTTAAAATATAAGTATCTATTATAAATTAAAAATTACTATATGGTGATTATTGTGCAATATTGAGTAAATTTCATTTGAATTTAATCTAATTTTGGTATTATTTTCAGTGAATTGTTCAATTTATTCACCTTATTGTGGTTATCATTTTAAATTATACAAATTAATAAATACAATCATTTCATGTACAGAAGTATATAATTTGAAAACCATGTTAATTCCATATTGTTGATTAAAAATGTCACGTTTCATAATAATTTTTTAGTTTATTTTTTATATATAAATAAAACAACCAATTAATTAAACGTTTTGTTTTTCGTTAATATATTCTAAAATTGAAACCCAAAAGTAAGCTAGAAGTTATCTTTCAAAGTATTTAATAAGTTTTTGAAACTTCAACAATATTCATTTTCTTTTCTGACATTTTTATATAATCAATAAATTTGGATATATTATAATATTGTTTAAAACAAATAATTAACGACCAAACAATTACGTGTTCATTTTGGTTGGCGTTCGTATTTTCATGAATATTATGATAATATAATTAATGTTTGAAAATATAATATACATCAAAAATAAAAGCATGTATAAATAACTTCTAGTTAATTAATTATTGTTCTTAAAATTATTGTATTATAAATTCTTTATGAAACTAAAAAGTCTACTCAATGGCGATAATAATTGTATTATTGTTCACTTGTATAGTATCTTCTAAAATAACAACTGAATGGTGTAAGTATTCTGACAAAATTGAATGTGTTCAATTTGGCAATCAATGTGAACAAAATTTCCAATGGAGTTTATCCACAGAACGAATTCAGTTGCCTTCTATTGACAATGGTTTCATTATTAAATGTGGACTGAACACACACTTAGATGTCACTATTAATTCAAAACACACTTTAAAGTTAATATTTAATACCAATAACTATACATACAAGTATTCCAATGTGTTTGACAAGTTTATTTTAATTGAACAAACTTTACAGAATAAAAGTAATTTTGTAAAAACAAAAACAGTTCTCAAAACTTCTTGTACAAATTGTAAACAATGTGTAGATACAAATTGTGTAGAATGTAATGATGCGTTTTATTTATCAAACGGTTCGTGTTACTCATGTAATTCATATTGTAGTACTTGTTATGATAAAACTAATTATGGGTGTTTAACATGTAAAGATGGCAAGTACTTAACTCAAAAAACAAAGTGCCTTACTTGTTCTTATTCGTGTATTACTTGTTTCAATGGAACAATTGATGATTGTTTAACATGCCGAAATGGGTATTACATGTCTGGTTCAAGTACTTGTTTGAGTTGTCATTATTGGTGTGAAACGTGTTATGGTGGTTCAAATACGGAGTGTAATACTTGTAAAACTGGGTACTATTCACAAGGAACTAACACTTGTCTAAAATGTCCATCTGAATGTAAAACGTGTACAAATACTACATGTCTAACATGCCAAAGTTCTCATTATTTTTCAGGTAACTCATGTTACAAATGTGATTCATTGTGTTTATCTTGTAATGGTCCTTTTGCTAATAATTGCAAAACGTGCAGATTTTCTTATGTATTAATAGATAATCAATGTATTAAATGTGATTCGTCATGCAGCTCTTGTAATGGAATAGGGCCAAGCAATTGTGTATCGTGTCCATATTCTTATTTTAACAGCAATGGATACTGTGTAAAATGTGATTCTTCATGTGAATCTTGTAATGGACCAAATTCAAACAATTGTTTGTCTTGCCCATATTCATATGGCATTTCGGATGGGTATTGTGTAAAATGTGATTCATCGTGTAATAAATGTAATGGAACTAATCCAAACAACTGTCTTTCTTGTTATAAAAATTATCAATTGATTAATGGCAATTGTTTCAAGTGTGACCCATCTTGTAAAACATGTAATGGACCTTATTCTACTAATTGTTTAACATGTAATAATTATTATTATTATTACTCATATGGGTATTGTGTGAAGTGTGATTATTCATGTAACACGTGTAGTTTTGGTGGACCTGGAAATTGCCGAACATGCAAATCTTATTATTATTACTCAAATGGGTATTGTCTCAAATGCAGTCCAAATTGTAATACCTGTAATGGAACAGCCGAAAACAATTGCCTGACATGTAAAACTGGTTATTACTTATCAAATGGATATTGTGTTCCTTGCAATTCAAATTGTATTAGTTGCAGTGGTAATTTTGCAAACAATTGTGATTCTTGTAAAAGTGGCTTTGTTTTAATAAATGGGGTCTGTTCACCATGTTCTTCGAATTGTATTACTTGTACAACTACAAAATGTCTGACGTGCGATTCGAACTATTATCTATCAAATAATGTTTGTAACAAATGTCATTCTGAATGTGAGAGTTGTAATGATCCTGAAAGAACAAATTGTAAAAATTGTATAAAAGGAAAATATTTGGCTGATAATAACACCTGTCAACAATGCATACCAAATTGTGATTATGGTTATAACTTTGATTGTTATCAATGTAAAGATGGGTATTATTATGAAGGTAATGGCAAATGTGCAAAGTTAAAAAACGAATTCTGTGTTTTTGGAAACAATATTGAGTGTTATGGTTGTTTGATTGGATATTATTTGGATAAGAATGATTGTTTGGAGTGTCCCAGTATTTGCAGATCTTGCAATGGACCGACAACATCTGAATGTAACTCGTGTAATGATGGGTATTATATTGCATCTAACACATGCCTTAAATGTTCTTCTAAATGTCAGACATGCAAAGACAATTCAACCACTTGTATGTCTTGTGAGGCAGGATCGAAGTATTTATGGAACAACGAGTGTATTTCTTGTGATAATTGTAAGCCCGGGCATTGCATATCAAATACGACAAAGTGTGATTCGTGTAATGACGGATTATAATCTGACAATGGGTTATGTAAAACTTGCGACTCCAACTGTCTCACATGCTCAAATTCTTCTTCAAATTGTTTGTCTTGCAAGCCCGGGACATACCTTTCAAATTCGATGTGTCTCACCTGTAATGCAAATTGTGAGACCTCTGGGTGTCATACGACTTTGGGGTGCACAAATTGTAAACCGGGATATTTCCCAAAGAATCTTGGGTGCAGCCAATGCAGTGAAATCGCAAATTGTGTTACTTGCAGCCAAACTGAACAAAAGTGCACAACTTGTGCGTCTGGTATTTCATATGTCAACTCAAGTGGATTGTGCTCACTTTGCGACGCGTCGTGCAAAACTTGTAACACTGATGGAACGTGTAACGGGTGTATTGACAATTATATACCATATTTAGTCAACAACAGATCATGTCAGGCGTGTTCTTCGTTTGACCCAAATTGTGATGTTTGTGGTGAAAATCAATACAGAAGATGCACAACTTGTAAAGACAATTATTACTTGAACTCGAATGGCACTTGTACTCAGTGTGATCCTTCTTGTGCAAATAACAGGTGTGACAAAAAGACAGGAATATGCAATACATGTGCAGTGGGGTTTACTAAACAGAGTGTCGATAGTGTTAAATGTCAGTTGTGTACCTCATATGATCCCGATTGTTCGACGTGTTCACAAACCACCAGAAAATGCACAAAATGTGTAACTGGCAAATATCCAAATCCATCATCGCCGTTTTCTTGTATGTATTGTCACCTCAGTTGTTCGAATGGGTGTTCGACAACAACAGGCGATTGCATGACTTGTACAAATGATCAGTATACAATCAACCCATCAAACCCAAAACAGTGTCAGAGTTGTTTGGGATTTGATTCAAACTGTCTCAGCTGTTCAACAACAGAAAGAAAATGTCTATCTTGTCGAAGTGATGTTTCGTATTTGGTCAAAGGGTATTGTGTCTCATGTGATTCAACTTGTTCAAAATGTGACTCAAATGGTTTATGTATTAATTGTGTTGATAACTACGTCTTTAATGAACCAAAGCAACAAAAGTGTATAACTTGTACATCATTTGATGCAAAATGTGAGACTTGCAGTTCTAATAGTTCAAGAAATTGCACCAAATGCAAATCCAATATGTACCCTGATACTACCACTGGAAAGTGTAAATTATGTGATTCTTCATGTGGCGGCAGTTGCGACACAACAAATGGAATGTGCACAAACTGTGTTTCTGGTAAAGTGTTTGATGATCCAAAGGGCAAGACCTGTGTCGAGTGTACGACTTTTGATTCAAATTGTGTCGAATGTGCTTCAAATGGAGAGAGAGTGTGTTCAAAATGTCGTGAAAAAAGTGGGTTTTATTTACAGAATGGAAAGTGTGTTGCATGTGATTCAACGTGTAAACCAAATACATGTGACTCGACAACGGGATTTTGTTCACAATGTTTGGTAAATTACACAGTGACATCTCCAATTTCAAAAGTCTGCAAACCATGTTCTGAATTTGACTCATACTGCATTAAATGTCTAGCAGATTTTGACAAAGCATGTGACTTGTGTTCATATGGCAGATTTCCGAGCAGATCATACTTCTATAGCTGTGCTAAATGCAATCCGACATGTGATGGAAATTGCAATGGTACAAATGGTCTTTGTTTGAGTTGTTTACCAAATTATGTATTTGCTTATATTTGTGATTCGTGTGCATTATTTGATATAAACTGTTTGACATGTGATTCGACATATCAGAGAAAATGCGTAACATGTCGAACAAGTGGGATGTATCCAAGTGACTCGACATACAAATGTGTCTCATGTGCCACTACATGCAATGGAAACTGTGATCAGACAACGGGCAAGTGCACGGGTTGTATCAACAATTACGTGTTTGAAGCAACTAAGAGTCGTGTGTGTGTTGCTTGCAAATCGTTTGATCAAAATTGCAAAACGTGTTCTTCCGATTACAACAGAAAATGTGTTGAGTGTGAAAGTGGATACTATCCAAATCAAAGTGGCGTCTGTGTGTCGTGTAACACAACTATCACAAACTGCAAATCATGTAATTCAAGAGAAAACAAGTGCTTGTCGTGTCAAGACCCGTATTATTTTTCAAATCAAACATGTTTGAGTTGTGCTTCTGGAAGTTATAAAAACACTGAAACATCATGTGAAAAGTGTTTCATGGGCATCCCAAATTGTCAAACTTGTTCAACTAAAACGGTTGGAATTCCTGTTTGCACCGCTTGTTATTCGCCATATGCATTTGATTCCCAAACCAATTTTTGTGAACTGTGTGGTACAAACAAAAGTTACAGCACAACAACAAAGAAATGCGAAACTAATGAAAATGGGTGCGCAACTGCCTTCAATAAACAACAATGTTTGAGATGTTCAGACGGGTATTATCTGTCAAGTAACAAATGTGTACCAGCAACCAATTGTGTAAACAAATCAACTCTTTCGAAAGTGTCGTGTGACTGTTCATATCAAATATCAGTTGGCTCAGACTGCCAAAGCACAGTTTCAAAATGCAAATATCAGAAAAACAACAAAAATCAAAAGGAATGCATTCAATGCGAAGATAATAACATTGTTAATGAAAAGACTTGTCAAAACATTATAAATGGATTAACTCGAAATAATGTCGTTTATCAATGTGAAAATGGCAATTATTTGAATGAAAACAATCAATGTGTAAAATGTACAGATTACTCTTCAGTTTGTATTAACTACAAAGCTAAAAGAACAATTTTGTCGTGTGCAAAAGATAAAGTTTATCACGTTGAAACAATGAGCTGTAATAGCGATAGCAACTGTTTAAAATACGGCAAAGATTATTGCTTACAATGTGTTGATGTTAACATGGAACTAAAATATGGACAATGCTCGGCGTGTTCAATACCAAATTGCAAATATTGTGAAGGTGGAAAGTGCAAAAAGTGCAATGACAATTATGTTGTACAAACAAATGGATTATGTGTTGAACAAAGTGAAGTTGGGTGTGTCAAAGCCGATGGTCTCTTTTGTTCACAATGCAAAGAAGGGTTTAATCCGATTGAAACTCTCAACAATGAAGGAAAATACGATTTTTGTATTCCAATTTCTCAATCTCAAATAGCTGACTGTAAATACTCACTGATTTCAAAATCAATGTGTGTTGAATGTTTGGACACATTCAAACTAAAATATGGAAATTGTTCAGAAAATTTTGATGATAAAGATTACGATGAAAACAATGTTACTAACACAAAACAAATGATGAAAAGTGTCGAAACCTCGTGTTTCACTCGTACCAACAAAGGGTGTGAGAGATGCAATTCTGGTTACTATAACATTAACAGTGAATGTGAGTTGTGTTCTAGTCATTGTGATCATTGTTACAACACAACATATTGCTTGACATGTGATCCTCAGTATTATTTATCTTCCACCTTTACATGTGAACCACTTGGTGATTTGTTTACAAAATGTGAATTGACATTGCCAACAGGCGGTGGATGTGCAATATGCAAAGACCACTATTACAAACAGAAAACAGACTGCATTGCTTGTGATGAGTCGTGTGGTACTTGTGTTGATGGCTTGTCGTGTTTGAGTTGCCGAAACGAATATTTCAAACTATCTGGCAGTGAAAATAAACTGTGTGTGTCATATGACAACTTGACTAATTGTGTTACTAAAACGCCAATTAAGTGTGTAAAATGTGAAAATGGGTATTACTTGGATAATTACATTTGCAAAAACTGTTCTGAAAACTGCATTTCATGTGACAACTATCAAAAATGTAAAAACTGTGTTGAAAAAAATTATGTGTTGGTTGACTCGCAGTGTGTGAGTTACAAAAGTGTTGAGTTTTGTCTCTCTGCGAACAATTCAAAGTGCACAGAATGTGAAGGATTTCACAAACCAAGTGATGCCGGTGATTATTGCGTCAAAGAGACTAATTATGGGTTGGTGGTTGGCGTGCCGTTGTCAGTGACTGTTGTGATTTTGGTGATAATTTTTGCAATAATACTAATTGTGATTTCAATGATACAAAAGAGAAAACAAAAGAAGAAAGAGCAGAACATTTGCAACTTCAAAATGAGTCGGTCAAACATTGAGATGGTCAAATTGAGTGCAAATTTGGTGACAAACAAGACAACACTGAAATTTGATTTGGATAACAATGACCCACTTAAGATCGATATTGAGACAAGAGATTTGATATGTATCGGAAATGTGTCCAACAGCAACTTGAAAGTGCAGTTCAGTGTGATGGAACGGTGTGACTATTACGAGATACGAAGTGTGCCACCACTTGTGACATTAAAACCTGGATATGCCTGCGAGTTTGAGATATTTATCAAGCCGCTGTGTACTTGTGTCACCAAAGAACATGTAGCAATAACTTCGTTAAATATAGCAACTGGTGTCATTGAAAATGCAAAAATTGAAATGGAAATCGAGACTGAACAAACAACCAAATTAAATTACAGAGAGATCATCGAAGACGATAAGCTTGGTGAAGGCAGTTTTGGGATCGTCTACAAAGGGCAATACAGAGGTGTTTGTGTTGCAATCAAAAAGATGAAACAACTTGATAATTATGAAAGTGGACTTGCAGAGTTTGAAAAGGAAGTTGCAATGCTAGACAAGTTCCGATGTGATTACATCATACACTTTTATGGCGCTGTATTCATACCAAGTAAGGTGTGTATGGTCACCGAATTTGCATCATTTGGGTCACTCCAAGACTTGATCAAACACAAAAAGAGGGATGAAATTGATATGAAGTTGCGAATTAAATTCTTATTAGATGCGGCAAAAGGTATTCAATATTTACACGAGAATGGGATATTACACAGAGACATCAAGCCAGACAACATTCTTGTGTTATCACTTGATGTGAATGAAAAAGTGAATGCAAAATTGACAG